CATCAACTAGTGTATTGTTGAAGCAGCTTTTTCCTCTAACCTGTTCTAAGCCTGCCTTCTAGTGTTCACCCAAGGCAACTACATACCAGAGACAACAGGGCTGAGAAATTTCTTAAAAGCTATTTAAAAACACAAACCTGCGTGGAGCATCCAAGCAAGATGTTTTGGCACTGGGCTGTGCTCATATGAAATTGACCTGACCAGCATGCCCGCACCAATCACAGCAGCAAAAGTTGCTCCAATTGCCTAGGTGGGAACAAACAAATCATCATATTAATAAGTTCAACGGAAAAATTCAAGCACATCAGATAAACTATGATTTAAAAATTGGTATTTGACTAAACAAGCTCTGTAATATGTAATTCTAAGGTTAAAATAATAATGGTGCAGTGGAGTGAAGACCATTAAAAAACAAAAAAGCAAGCAAGTATTGTAAAGCTTACCAGCCAGGATCCTCTCATCATCAGACCCATTAAAGCTGGGGTCCTACTCACAGCTACAGCTGACAGAGCCGTCAGCCCAACACTGCCTGCAAAGTACATGTAGGTAGAGTGGATCCGGTCCTTCACATACTGAGGCCAGATCCTGTACAAAGATGAAAAGAAGCCTTTAGTTTGTATGATACCATCACTTTTCTACTGGTCTGCATTTCAAAATAAAATTCAAGTGCTGTTGGTAAAATAAATCTGTTACTCACATTGCTTTCTCTATGGCACCGATATCATTAGCCATGCCAAGTCCATAATAGCACAGAGCTCCAAGGCCAACTGCTGCACCTCCAGCCAGTATCATTCTCCCCATGCTATCAACTTCAGACACAACACAAAAATCATTTGAGACAGTTTACATTTTTGCCTCAGAGGAAAAAAGATTTACTATAACAAAACCATTTCAAACCATGAAATCTCACATTTTTCTAAAAATGAAGTTGCATTGCAGGATTTACATTTTAAAATACTTGTTATTTATCTAATACTGGGTTTTGAGTCCCGCCCCCAGCCAATTAATCACAGGTAAGACAGTTTTTTTTCTCACCTGAATGTATGACATATGGTGTAAACAGTATGTGATAATGAAATCTCTTGGTCCCCTTTCAACACTTGTTAAATCATCTATCAGAAACCTTGGGCTAACTTTTGATTCCACTCTCACTTTGGATGTTCATGTCAAATCTCAGGTTCAGTCTTGCTTTTATTACTTAAGAAACATTAATAAATTAAGTCATCTTTGTCTTGAAAGGTGCTATACAAATAAAATTTTACTTATTTATCCATAGACATGAATAACAAAAAATATGTGAAAGCTTAACAGGTCACCCTTAAGTCAGTAGACAGCATAGAATTCAGGCTATATAAAAGTAGAAAATATGTAACGGTGCCAAATGAAGTATGTATCAAAGCATTTACTTTTGATGGCTGTATCAGTGGCTGGTTCAAAAGCTGCTTCCTTTAGCTGGTCTCTGGTTGTCTTTGCACGGCGAAACCCAAACCTGGCCTTTGAGGAATAACCCTGAAAGAAGAAGCAGCAGCTTTACATGACTCTTCAAATGTTGAACATGAGTTAGGGTTTCACACCCACCATCAATCAAAAGTGGGGAAGCAGCAAATACCCAGTTTCAAAAAAATACCATGTTTACATAACAAATTAGAGCAGTGGCAATCTGACATTTGCACTGTTTCTAGTCCAGCTGCAAGTTGCACCCCTGTGATCATTACAAACTTATGACTAAAATTTCTAAGGTGTTCTACCAATATTATCCAAGATGAAATATTAAGCATAGCTGCATTTTTAGTACTTTACAAAGCAATGGTTTTTAGGCATGTTTTGCCCATACGTGCATTGACCTGTACAAAAAAGCATCCTAAATTTTTTTTTTTATTGTATTGGTTAAGAAAGGCATTATTGACCATCTGAACCGATTGCGTGTTGCTTTGCCGTCCACTCAACTTGATTATAACTTGCCTCTACCACCTTATCAGACAGCTTCATAAAGTCGGTAGAAGTCCATAAAACTCGGTTCCAATACTATTTTGAAGGCCACAATTTTCTTAAAGCACATATGTTTACTTTCTAGGTTTTTCTTTGGCTTGATTGGCAACAATCGTAAACACCTCCCAATAAACAACGCTGACATCTGTGAAGCAGCTGAAGCCACAACATGCAAAACGATGAAAATGTGGCCCAAGTGCAACCCACAATTGATATTAAAAGCACTGACTCAGGTGTCAGCATTACTGCTACAACTCAGCCATATATGTGGTCCAGATGGCAGGTGTGCCTAAACATACAGTTTATCACAGCTGTCAAAACCAGCACATGTAATAACCCGTGTAAAAAGCCTGACTCATGACATTTGGACCACACAACAAAGATTAGGCCCAAATGTGATGGTATATTTTCTACTGACATTTTTCCTTTATTTTACTTCACTATGTATTAATTGGTGTATAGCGGAGACGAAAGCCCAAATGCTTGCCAGGAGGCACTATATTTGGGAAACACTGCTACAAAGTCTGGCTAATGAAGGGTGAATGCAGCAACCACAAAGCATAGAAATGCCAAATTAGTGAGTCTGTGTGTGTGTGTGTCTGTGTGTGTGTGTGTGTGTGTGTGTGTGTGTGTGTGTGTGTGTGAGCTGGCGACAAAGTTTACAGTACCTGCTGGGGCCTGAGCAAGGGTGAACAGGTCTTCAGGATGGGTGACCGCAGGGCTGGGGAGCCCTGAGTGAGCAGTGGTCGGAGCCCAGCAAGCGGGAGAGCCTTCAGGCACGTTAGCCTCGCCACCAACATTGTCACGATATATTACTGTCCCGTGTCACTCTAAAACACAAACACAGAGAAGAATTTTTTTGAGAGGAATTAGTGTGACAGAAAGCTGAACTTTGAGCTAAGAGTCACAAAAACTGTAAAATGTGCTCTTGCACTAAAAAACGCCACAAAAATTGAGCTAGCTAATGCCGTAATATCATGCGACTAACCCTTAGCCTAACGACCGCTGAACAAACACATATTTAACTACAGACTAAATATGTCTTATCTGTTATATGGCTACAACGTTCAAAATACTAAATAGAAAGCAAATGTTACATACCGAGAGAAATGTCGACTATCACCTTTCCAGAAACAAGACGCCACGGTTTTGTAACCTTCCTGAAAATTCTTTACTTATGCGTCATCACTAAGCGACAGATTTGATGGGAATTGTAGTTCTAACGCAGTGATCCTCAATATTGCGTTAAAGACGTTATACCTTTTAAAGCATTCGGCTGATAAAGAGAAAATGATCTTAATGCGAATAAAGTACATGTAAAATTTCCCGTAAACAACCTGCGGCTGCAAGAGTTTATTCAACAACCTATCAGAGGTTAAGTCTCCATGGCATGACCGTGTTATATAATTTGCATTATTACATCATTGTTTTTTAAAGTTTACTACTGAGAGAGTAATAGCAAAAATGTGTTATGTTGTTTTTAACCGATCAAAGAACAGTTAATTAAAACAATGCATTTTGTTTAGTAATTATTGTCAACAGTTCTTTAGAGGGTGGCATTTTCAGTGTTTATCTCTGATGTGCTCTAATCACACTGCTACCAAAAAACTGTTTATCATCTTTTCTCAGAAAAATATTTTTTAAAAACTTTTATAAACAACTGAATGCATCCCTAACAACTCATTATGATGAGTACCAATCAGATTTCATCACCAATTAAACCCATCAACAACCTAAAGACCTAAAGATCACCAGTAATTAGAAGACTCATGATCGACACTGACTTCTTGACTTCTTAATTCAAAGTCTTTATGATTTTGTTGATTTAGATATGTCATCATGTCTAAAGGGTAGAGGTTTCTACATTTCGATTAATAGTTTGAGATCAGCACAAATTTAAAAATTCAATCAGTGGTTCCTCAAATGTCTGTTCTTGGTCCATTACTCTCGAATCTTCCTGCTCTCTCTTGGCCCTATCATAAAGAATAATAAATAAAGAAGAATAAAATATCCAATGATGATGATGATGATACACATAACTGTGTGTGCGTGTTTACGTTTATTTTTTGTAAACTTATATTCCTCTGGGGTTTTTTGTTTTTACTTTAATGTTACTGTACATTTTAAGTTTTTTATCTTGATATTAACCATGTTAAGTTTAAATGTAATGAAATGTGTCATATAAATAAAACTGACATTAAATTGACACTTCCATACTGTTGTGTACTCAAACCACTTTTAAAAGGTCATATGTTGAATTATTACGTTATCCATGTATGCAAAAACAATATCATCCTGCAAAGAAGCCATTCAAAATTGCTCTTTAGGTTACTCTAAAGTAAAAATGTAAAGTAAGATTGACCCAGCCTATCTTTAACGACGCTATCATGATATCATATCATGTAAAAGAAAACCATGTTTATTTGCAGCCCACCTTGTTCTCTCTGTAACCTCTATGTTATACTTTTCTCCACTAGGTGGAGTGCTCGCCCTTTTTTTTTGCGACGACATTAAAAACTAAAAAGTAAAACCTAAAACTGACCCCCAAAAGGAACACATAGGCTATTATTTAGGTAGCACCGCTATATTTAACCTATATTGTTTACCATGTCGTTTATGTGTGCAAAGTTAGCTTTTTACTTTAAAGAAATGGTCCGTGAGGGGCCGTGGCAGTGCGCCAGTGCTCCCTGAAGCTCCGCTCCTTTGGACCAAAGTTTCCCGTGTGATTCAGTGACTCGCAACTGTTGGATAGATTTGTCATTCAGATCAGCGAGCAGCCTGACCTGCAGCCCCCTCAAACATGATTTCATCTCATCTACGAGTTTTGCTCACTGAAACTAGGCCAGCCTCTCCTTTTGAATTCGATTGTTTTCTGTCATACAAGTGAAGCAGTCTTGGCAAAGTAATGGAATTAATTTCTCTCCGGAGTCGCTCTTTGAGGGAAGGCTGATCAAGTGGATGAAAAGCGGGACGCCTTCAGAGACCGCAGTTCATTTATAATGGTGGGTACAGAGAGCGGACAAGCTGTTCTTTACATATTCGCATGATATTTTAGAAATGAATAAAGAAAAACTAACACGTCATTAATAACACTTGGCTACAACGACATTACTCCAAGTGACTCGTGACTTTTCATTCAGTTTTTTTTTCTTTTTTTTATTAAGAAAGCATGATTTCGGTTTGTCCTTGTGACCCTTTAATGCGGCACATGATCTCCAGAGAGACTGCTGCTTCAGTCTGACTTACTCCCCCCTTTGCCCTTCTGTCTTTTAGTGTGGCATCTTTATAAACTAACAGATAAAGTTGCCGGAAAATTAGCACAATTTATTTACAGTAAAAACCTGCCCTCTGCATAAACAACTGCATGCATGTGTTTATGGCGAACAGATGTGTTGCATGACCCCCACAGCTGCTCTGAAATAACCACAATGACTAAACACACATGCATATCCCCCAGCATAATCTTAATTAATGGGGTATAGGTCATATCGTGGGGAAAATGGGTTGTTTCATTCTTGTCTATTCTATGTCTATTTTACTCAGATCTTTACCCTTAAACTAAAACCAATTAGGGCTGCGTCCATACAACTCGAATGATTTTAGCAGTTTCTACAGGTTTGTAGCCCAAACTCATTCACTATTAATTCAATAAACTATTGGAAAAGTTTTTAGTGACTGAGTAAATAACTTAGAGTACAATATTTCCTCCGATGCTTATAAAAATCTTCCCATAATGACTTAATGCAACTAAATATATACAAAAAAATTTTCCCACTGTAATCCCTTTATCTTTTTTTATCTATCAGAAAAATGTGTTGGACACTGCAGTGCACATTTGCAATGCAATCTCGAGCAAGATGGGTTTGGTTGGCTGGTGTTTAATTTGTCTCCACATAAGATTTACATTAAATAAGAGGCAGCTATTAAAAGCATTTGTAACAAGATGATAAATGGTGCAGTGGCAGTTTTGTTATGAGCAGATGATCAAACGTGTCATATGCCTCAGTGGTTTGTGAATATTCAAGAATGTCAGCTTCTTTTTTTCTGCGTTACCCAGCAGATGCAATAGGCTGAGATAATTGGTGTACATCTAATTTACCATATAAATGACAAAACATCAGACTACTTATTTTCTTGATGAATGGTTGATGTTGAATATTTTTGTTTATTTTGAATCATATATGAGGAGAACTACACACTCAATCCCATAGAACTGTAAGTGTTACAGAAAGAGACATTTTTGTTGCTAATCATCCTCTTGTGTCTTATTTATTAAGCTAAATCATTTTTGCTATATGTCGTAATTTGTTAATGCACAACAGTATTACACAGAGTGCACAACAGCTGTACTCTATCTTTCCATGTGCTAAATATCTGTTGGCTTGGTCAGACATTGGAAATTCATTTGCTCACTTTAAAAACTCCCATGGGTTTGAAGACTCACTCATTTAATTTGGTGCAGTTGTCTTATCTGACCAGTTCTAGATGACTTGGAACATCCACGAGCTTAGTCACTGACCCTGTGACGTCTGAATGACCTGAAAGTTTATGTTCTGCAATCTCTACCCAAAGGAAGGTTTAAACTCACTCCATGTGTAAAGAGGCCTTTGTGGTTGTGGCATGCGGCAAGGTGGTGCAAGACAGCGCTGAGTTTTCCTTCCAGTGAAAACGTGTCTTAGTACACAGGCTGTTCACCTTTTCATTACGTGCCGTTCCACGTCAACAGTGCTCTATTGGAGCTGTAAACTTCCCATTCCCACTCAGAGAATTTCACAGGGAGTGTCTAACCATTCCCCGTGTTTAGACTGCAGTCATCTGAACTGGCTTCTGTTCTCAAACATGGCCCTGGACAGAAGTTGTAACAGGATGTGAGAAGCGGACCTCCAGGTGTGAAACACAGAAAGGCAAAGACATTAAAGAATTGAGAAAACAGTGGTCATCCAACTGGGTTTCCAACAGGATTTGGCATCTTATCGTAACCTGATGCAGTTAAATGAAAAGGTTGGCCTGTTACTTATGGATCTTAACCCCCACCTCCACCCCACAACCTCCCAAAAAACAGCAGTTTGATGATGCTTTGCAAATATCCTCCAGGTGGAGGCTGCCTCATTTGCTCTTGCTGTGGTATTGACCCAACACTAGCAGACAAGGTAAGCAGGATTATGCTTAATTCTCAAGATTAGTCAGGGATCTGAGTCAAGCTGCCATTATCTTAAAAGTGAACCAATATTAATCTTTCAAGAATGTGCAAGACATTCACAAATAGTCCCCATTAAATCCACCCTTATCTTCATTTGATTACCCACCACTTGCCCTCTCCAGACTTATAAAACAACTGAATGGCCTCCAGGCTCAGAGCACGGCAATTTATGGTTCAGTGACAAGCAGGATTTCCCCTTTCAATTCCACGACTCTGCAGTCCTGTTAGCATTTGGACTTCTATTAGTCCTTGTGTAAGATATCCTCCTGGTGTTGAGGAGGAGTAGCTGGCAATTTGGACTGTTCTGTTATCTACATCAGTGGGAGGTAAAGGATCTCACTCCAAGCCAGACAACTCTGGAGTTTTTTTGGCAAGCAGCTTGACAGCTGTGGGATTGGAGTTTAATTGACAAAATTGTCCTTGATTGCAGTCTGTACCCACATTTCTTTGTGCCCTAATAGTTGTTTATCCACTCGTTTTTGAAAGCAACTTCTACAAAGACTAACTCATAAATACAGTTTGCACCATCCCTCAGACTTGCAGTGGTGGGTGGGCATGTACCTGAAACGCACTGCTGCACTTAAAGATAACAAGTACTTCCTCATGGCAAGGACTAGCTTAAATTCCAATGGGAAACAATGTGTTATACCTTTTTGTATTTTTAGCATCTTATTATAGGTGGGTTTTTTCTTTAGTAAGTGACTCTCATCATAGTTTTGCAGAACACAGTGGTGCTGTATGCAACTAACAAATTCAGAAATAAAAGAAGAGCGGAACCTCTGTGACTCAGCATCACAGTGCATTATTAGGTTCCCCATTTACAAAAATAGTGTTCTACCACAGCCTTGCTCAAATGTGTAAAATTTGTAGCTGACAGTTTGATGTTCATTTCATTTGCAGGATAAAACATTTGCTACAACAGGGAACACAAATAACTGGATGGCTCTTTAAGAACGCAACTGGTGACTTGGCGAGATTGGCAGAAGCTATTAAGAAGCAGTCTGTAAAAGCATATCCAGGCTCAGCCACATCCAAGAATGAAGATCAAATACACTCTACCCATTGTCTTTTTTATGGCACTTGTTATCATTGAGAAAGAAAACAACATTATCTCAAGGTAAGTCAATTTCAATCACGAAAGGAGGATTGAATTCTTTTCTGAGCGAGATATTAGATATTAAAAAAATGCTTTAGACGTCAAGGCTCTGACTCTATGTTAACCTGAAATGTAACATGCGTTTGGTTTCTCTCATGCTTTCAGGGTGTCAGATAAGCTAAAGCAGACCCCTCAAACCTCTCAACAACCCAGCAGTTTGTCCAACGTACTGCTGAAGCACAGTAGTTTCCGTCTGTCAATCAGCAAGAGGAATGTCACGCTGATGAAGCCGCGGGTGGAGGACTACAGCGAGCACCGAGGGGCATTGAGAAGGGGTAGAAAACACATTCTCCTGCTAACCACGACTAGGACAGGCTCTTCATTTGTGGGCGAGTTTTTCAACCAGCAGGGAGAAAACATGTTTTACCTGTTTGAGCCTCTGTGGCACGTGGAAAAGATGTTGACTTTGGACACTGGAGGCACCAATGCTACAGCGGCAGCCAAAGCATACCGTGATGTGCTCCAAAAACTCTTCCTATGTGACTTTTCTTTGCTAGAAACCTTCATCGACCCCCTTCCCGTGGACCACATCACCCCAGCCCTGTTTCGCAGGGAGTCCAGCAGCTCTCTGTGTGCGAAGTCTGTCTGCAGCCCTGTTGTCAAAGGGGTTTTTGAACGATATCACTGTAAGACCAGACGCTGTGGTCCCCTGAACCTGACAATGGCGTCTGAATCCTGCCTTAAGAAAGAGCACATTGCCATCAAGTCGGTACGAGTGCGCCAGCTCGAGACTCTGCGTCCTTTGGCTGAGGACACACGTCTTGATGTAAAATTCATCCAGCTGGTTCGCGATCCCCGGGCTATCTTGGCATCACGTATGGTGGCCTTTGCAGCCAAATACAAGAACTGGAAGGAGTGGGCCATGGGTGGAAATGTTCCTATTGACGATGACGAGGTGAGGAAGTTAAAAGGAAATTGCGACAATATCAAAATGTCTGCCGAGTTCGGCCTCAGACAGCCATTTTGGCTGCGCAGGCGATACATGCTGGTGCGGTATGAGGACATTGCTCGGTTCCCCATGAAGAAAGCAACCGAGATGTACAAGTTTACTGGAATCCCATTCACTCCACAAGTGAAATCCTGGATTCTGAAGAACACCCAGGCCTCGAAGGAGACAAGCGGAGTTTACTCTACACAGAAAAACTCATCTGAACAAGTGGAGAAATGGAGGTTCAAGCTTCCATTCAAGATAGCCCAAGTGGTACAGAGAGTTTGTGGACCAACAATGAAGCTTTTTGGGTACAAATTTGTGAGCAGTGAGGAAATGCTAACAGATAAATCTATCAGTCTCATTGAGGACAAAGTGTTCAGCTTTTTATAGATTTTAAAAAATGTTAACTCCAACACTTGATGCAGAAAATTTCAACCTTTCTAAAGCCTCTGTGATAAATTATTTTTATGAAGATCCTGATACAGAGTGATATATTTTCTGATAATGTCCTATTTAAAGTTTTTTTTACTATTTAAAACAATTTGACAAAGAATAGACTGTTGAGCAGAAAATACACATGAAACGTTTAACTATGAAAGCAACAGTCTGGAGTTTTGATAAAATCTTCACATAGAGCACATCTTTGTTTTTGCACTCTGCACAATTTCTTTTCCTGTCTTACACAAATGGTGCTTTCAGCTCGTCCTGCAAACCACTCCCATATTTGTTCCTTAGCAAATATAGAAAGTTATTAGGGAGAGCTTTTGAGCAACAATGAGCTGTTTCAAACATTTCCAGGAACCTCAATTAGTTATTTTTGTAAAGTCACTCCTTAGCAACATATGCTGCTCTTATGCCAAAGAACCTTGCAGAAACCGCTTTGTATAGCAATGCTCATATACGTGAGAGGAAATACCAGTGTCTTGCCAGGCAACTTCACTTTCGTCATTTACAGGTAATGTCCCATGATGATTTATTTATTTTTTCCATTTGCTAAACAGTCATTATGACAAAGTGTCTGAATGTGCCCCACAGGTTCTACCCCCACTATGCAGGGGTGTTTTTGCACATGTATGCTGTAGTTTTTTGTACATGAAAATGTGTTCAGGAATATAAGCACCCATCCTGTAAAACAGACTGTAACAGTGCTACTTTATGTTAACATTCCAACTGCAGCTGGTTTGCAGAATCGTGCAAAGTTTGTCAGGAGGTCTCTGTCTTTTGAAACAAGCCTCTTGGCTGGTGGTAACAGGCCTTGACGCTCTGGCCTGTCAGGCAATTTGTTGACACAGAACCTGTTCTTTTTTTTTATTTTTGAAAAGAAAAAGCTTGTTGCAATAAATCTTTACAGTTGAAAAACGCTTTATTTCTGAAGAGGACATATTTTTCACATGAAAGCACTCCATCCAGGAGTGTTCAAATTCAATAAATTGTCTGAAAAAATTTTACATTCTGCTGACAGGAGCATATTGAGCATGAGCACATCCCATTTTGTCATCTTTGTCAGATATTTTTTAAAAAGAGGCTAAACAATGACAGTATAACAGGAAGCAAATATGGCACATCACAGCCATACATACACAGATGGTGTAAAATAAAACAACACAGATGGCGTAAAATAAAACAAACACAGTAAACAGCTCTCCTGTAGAATCCCACTTCAATCAGTGTTAGCGGGGGTTTGCTTGTAGCTACATCCTGTATTTGCTTATGTAGCAACATTAATTTAGCAAAGAGTGATGAAGGATGGACACAAGTGGACACTGAAAGATTCTTTGCAGTCTTTAGAAAAAGATCACAGTGAAATCGGTGTTTTCCAGATGGTTTCCGACAATACTCTAACATCTGAAGAGACTTTGTGTGGGTACAGTGGGCACAGTTGGACTGATTGAAACTTTGACCAGATGTTGGGGCTAAATGAAAAATCAAAGCATTTATCACGATGGTGCCACCCAATGTCAGGTTCAATGTCAAGTGCATATATGGTACAGATATCTGTGGATATAAGGGACAGAACAAGTCATACCAATAGATAAAAATATGAAAATGAAATAAAAATGTATCCTTTTTTAACCATGAAGCATTCACACTATTGAGATCCTGTTTCTCTTTATTCTATCTTCTACCTTCTACCTTATTATTCTAGTTGCTCAGTTCTTTGCTGGTTAACTACTCCCCCAGTTTTCATCCGATTTTCACCATTCAAATTTTAAACTGTTCTGCTCTTTCTGCTAATGCCTCCTATATTTGTTGGTGCTAGTAACTTTTATACTATACGACACTATAAATAGTAAGCTTTTTATGCCGTGTTTGACCCATTTAGATGAATAGGACCACATTACAAGTGTGTTTGCTGATTTAGCTTGCCAGGGTAAGCTGTGTTCGAATCCCACTCATGGCAACATTTTTTCCAGTAGACAGGTTAATTTTTTAAACTCTTTTCAACCAAAAATTTCAGCTTCTTCACCTCTTTTCAGCAGAAAATTCAGCTTTTTCACCTCTTGTCAGCACAGATTTCAGCTTCTTCACCTCTTTTCAGCAGATAGTTCTTCAGCTGTTTTCAGCAGATTCCACTACACAGCATCCACACTGCATTTTCGCAGGAAATGCAAGTTTTTCTAGTTGAAAATGCCTTTGTCTCATTTCAGTCTCAACCCAGTTTTTATTGTTGTTGTTTATGTCTGGCCTTTTTATCTCTGAAACAATCAGCACTTGAGATATAAATAAGAACCAAGAAAGAGTGACTTATAAATGATACTGTGCTATATCTCAGTGAGCAGATTCAAGTTAATTTGGCTTCATTCTTTCACCTTTTATTTCTTCCAGTGGTACTTTGGCAGGGTGTTGCTTGAATTCCTCACAGCACTTCTAACAATTGCCTTCCAATGCTCCTTTTCTTTTGAGTTTGGAAAGCTTTTTTAAAAAATTAGAAATCTGTACATGAAAGTAATTCACAGAGAAAAAAAAACAGTCAGTAAACATTCACAGTTAATTTCATTGTTTTAGTTGTGAAACATGACCACTCACTTATTTCCCGTTTGAGTGGTTATCTAAAGTGACCATTGCTTTGTTGTCATATCTAAATATTTAAGCTTTTGGTACATTATGTTTGTCTTTAAGGAGGCAAGGAGGAAGGATACTGCAGTGACAGCTGCCTTGACTTCCAGTGTGTTTACCACTGTGGGCCCAGCTATTTAAGTCTTTCAACCTAGTAATTACCCGAACTTTACATATAATGTGGTCCAAGTCATTTTTGTCCACCTGACCACACCCTCTTACAGAAATGCAGAGAGAAAGTTTATAAAGACTCTCTATCTAGCTTTTTATATTAAATAGAGAGATTTTATAAAAAAGGATCATTCATTATCCATTCCTCCTCTACTGTTGAGCTAAGCCACCTCAATGCAAGTGCATTCACTCATATTAACAGGTCATTATCTGGTTATTTTGGTCGTTCTATTTGAGTAATAAAGAGCTGCCAGGTCTGCAGCATCTGAGTCCAAACCTAATGGGTTCAGTATTCATAAACTCTTTTAGTGGAGTGACTTTATGTGGGATGTGTGGAGGGTGGAGTCACTGTATGGTTGGGGCAAATATAGAATAACCACTTTCCAGTGAATTAAAGCCTTCTCAGCCCCCCTCCTCAGCAGTTAAATAAGGGCATTTAGGTAACCACACCCTCGCACTCTGTTATATGGTGCTTTGCCACATCAACCATGAGGGGTTTGAAATATGCAAAACAACCCTGCGCCGTTGATCCGAATGATAGTGTGTTGTACGATCTGCGACAAACAGACACAAAATTGAGGTAATTCAGACATGTCTCAGAGCGACATATAAAACTGCTGTAGGCGATAATGATGGTTTAGCAGGAGACATAAATCTAAATACACAGCAAATTATCTCACACTGAGGAATGCAATTCATAAAACTCAGGTTGTTGCATGTGATAATGAGTGACTACGTGAAGTGAGAGCAGAATTTCACTCAAGAACTCATCCAGTACACAACTTACTAGCTGTTAAGAGCAAAGCTGGAAGGTTTATCTGTCATTTATTGACACTCCAAAGCCAGACATTTTCCTATTTTGTGCGCTAACCTGGGGATTTATGACTGCTTTCATTTCTTTTTTTTCCACAACATACAGCCAGGGACAGACATCAGAGATCTGTGGTTGCACCACAGCTGCACTGGTGTGTCTGCTGTTAACAATGTTTCTAAAAGCAATGTCAAAATGAAAAGAAAGACCTTTTTCTCTCACTTACATACATACATTACACATTTTTTTCACTTGCATCTATGTACGTGTCCATTGATCTTCCAGTAAGATGGTAGGAAATGCTTTATCAAGCCGTGTCATGGAAGACTTGGAAGAAATCACAATGTACTGAACTACTGAGCAACATTTTCAAATTTCTGCGTGACATAACATTTTTCAGCTTTTTTTTTTTTTAGTTTGTTTTTCAGGAACTCCATTGTGGCTGACCACAACATAAAAGCCTTTGACAGAACGGAAATTAATGCCCATTTTCTCTGGATTTAGACTCTACAAAACATGTGAAAAGTGACTGAGAGATGTGGGCATGAGCTCGCACTGTCTGACCATTATGGTCAACAGAATGTATAAAGGCAGAAAATTACAATAATTGTGATGAATTGTGGCAGCTTAAAAAATGCAGTACCCAGTTTTCAAAACAGTAAAGTGTCTAGTTTCTTTCTCTGATGTGTTTTCATAAATGTAAAAATACTCTGACAACAAATGAATTCATAAAAAAATCAAAGCAGAAGACAACTTTGGGTTGTGTTTTGGTGTTTTGACTAATACATTTTTTTATGCTTGGTTGTGTTTTTTTTTTGTTTTTGGTTGAATGACCCCTTGGCTGCCAAAACATTTGGTTACATTTGTTATAGGCAATGTGACAGGTGATGAACACCAGGGGTTTTCTTTCCAAATACAGTACAATCTTTGACTCCCTCATTTAGTTTTCTTTTATTTGCATTTGTTTTCACTGGAACACCCTTTATCATTTAATTGTGACCTCAGTATTTATGCACAGTACTGCCAACCCTTACCCGTTCCCATAGGAAAACATAAAACATGGCTCTCATTCCAAATTTAGATATCCATTCTAGTTTAGAACAGCTTAAACATTTCATGGATATGTCAAACTAGTGTGGCATTTACTTTCAGTTGGGCCCCTGCAACACAAACAATGGGTTTGTGGGTGAAGGGAGATTTAAAGCAAATACTTGGGGTGAGGTCTGCAGGTGGTGCAAAGAAAAGAAGCTGACAAAGCTATGCTTTGGTTTTTCTGTGAGTAAGTATCATGCTAATACTTGTGCATTTTTTTTTGTTGCACTTACTATGAAACTTGGCTTTTAAATATAATTTAAAACCACAAAACTAACTTGTGGAAAACATGTGAAAAACACCGAGTGTTCACTCTTCCTTCCTTCAATATACTTTGTTTC